TATGTGTGTAGAACCTGCATGTGTGTAAGTGCACCCATGTTATGCAATGCCCAAGGAGGACAGAAGAAGGCATCAGATCCCTGGGAGTGGAGTTATGCATGGTTGTTAACTGCCCTCTTGGGTGCTGGGAATCAAACCCAGGTCTTCTATAAGAGCAGTCAGTGCTCTTAACTGCTGAGCCATCTCTCCAGCTCATGACTAATGTATTTATATCATTTCCACCTGTCATTCTCTCCTCTACAACTTTTCTCTCATTCACCCAACTCCTTCTCAATATCCTGACTTCTTTAATTATTATTAAGTATACACACACACACACACACACACACACACATATACCTTACTAAATACATTTAGTGATGCTAATATATATGTGCTTAAGACTGACCACTTGGGATTAGGTTACCTCTCAAGGAGCTCATCAGTAGAGAAACCTGATTCTTTCTCTCTGCAGCAATTAATTTTCTATAGCTATTTACATCTAAAGGTGTAACCTTGTGAAATTTCCCCCATTCACATTGGCATGTAAGCAACACATTGGGTGTTGTCATTATGTAGGTCTTGTTTAGGCAACAATATAATTGAGATTTTAGGGATGCAGCTTCCCTGTCATGTCTGGAAGACACTCTCTAGCAGCAGGCATCCTGGTCCTCTGGCTCTTACATTCTCTCTGCCCCCTCTTCCATGATGTTCCTTGAGCCTTAGGTGTAGAGTTATTTTTTTAGATATTTCAATTGGGACTGGGTACCCCACAGACACTTAATCTCTGCATTTTAACAAGTTTTGTCTCTCTGTAATAGTCTTCATCTGTTGCAAAAAGAAGCTTCCTTGATGAGTGGTGAGAGCTACACTAATCTGTGGGATTAAGGATAAGGTTTTGGAATACAGTTAGAAATTGTATTTGTTTAGGGAAATGGCAGTAGTAGGTTCTCTAGGGTCTACGACCTCTCCAGCCGTTGATATTTTTCTAGGTTTAGAGTACCAAGCATGAATCCGCTCCTGTGGAGCAGGGCTTATGTCAAATTAGACATTGTTGGTTACTCACAAGAAAAAGATTACCACTATTGCACTAGTTGGGATATCTTGCTGGGCTTGTCATTGTTGTTGTGGTGCTGTAATGCCACAATACAGTAATGCTTGAATAAATAAAGCCTGACACTTAGTATTCATTTAAACCAAGAGTGGGGGTCCAAACTGTTCTGAGAACTTGTTCCTTTAGATTTCTGATGGAACTATGCTTTCAAACAAAAGCCATCACTCTGTATTAAAACAGAAATCCAGCCTGAGATGTGCAAGTAAAAGCAGACTCTTATCAGAAAAGGTTTTTGCCCATTCTGACCCCTATTGGTCTAAAACTGTACACATAAACACAGATTGTATCAATCTATCCACACTTATTGTTAAAACACAACGTGGGATAATATTCATTGCTTCCAATAACTAATAGCTCCTTCTCGCAGCACTTTTGATATTCACAACACACACACACACACACACACACACACACACACATTGTTCTGGGACAAAAGAAAGAAGGGTCATGAGGGATTAAAGCTCTATGTTTAGGTTACAGAAGGATCTCAAGGCATAGTAAACTTATTTATATTGTAAGCAAGCTCAGCTAGTATCCTAGAAGTCATTCCCACAGTTGTGGTTTGTAGGCTTTTCTGCTGGGTAGGACTGTTGATTGCTTTTCTCCCTTGGCAGCTTGCATAGCAAGTTCAGATATTATGAGAGCTGGTTCTCAGGGAGGAGGCTTCTAGGCCAGTTCTATCTGGATTCCTCCAAGTCCTGTATCTAAAGTGTGTGTTGTCTTCAGAAATATAGCTTACTATTAAATTCTGGGAGGCAATCAAGGATGATAGCAACAGCATATGTTGCTTGGGAATCTCCTTGACTACCCTGATGTACACTTAGAAGGAAGGTTTCCTATGCCTGGCACTGGGGTTTTTGTTAGATAGCCTACAGTTCTTGTAAAAGCATTACCACCCTCTGTTGTGTAACTTCATTTAAATAAATAACATGTATACATGCATATGTAATATATAATGTATATATATATAAACTATGTTTATAAACAATGTTTCCATGTTTTTAAAACATCCTTGGTGTTACTTATCTCTCCTTCCCACTTTTCACTGTGTATCACCTCCCTCCTCTCTCCTTAGTTAAAGAACCCCCATGTTTTTCATCTCCCCTTGATATTCCTTTATTTTAATTAATATATGTATTTTTATTATACGTATGAATGTTTTAACTATGTATATGTAAGGGCAAGACATATGAGCAATGCCTACAGAGAATAGAAGAGGGTGTCTGATCTCCTGGAACTGGAATAACAGATTGTTGTTAGCCGCCATGTGGGTACTGTGAATTGAACCAATGATCTCTGAAAGAACGGCAAGTGTTCTTAAGTGCTAAGCCATCTCTACAGAGCCATACCTGCATTTTGATTACGAATTTAGGCATATGGCTTCTGTTTTGAGAAGAAAATGGCATAAATTTGCATTCCAGTTTTTGTACTAAGAGATTTCCCTCCGAAATACAAATTAAATATCCTGAAAATAATGCAATGAAATAGCCTAATAGAATTTTACAAAAACAGACTAAATCTATGTGAAGCTTCTTTATGAGCATATTTTCATGTCTCAATATCGAAAAATAACAAATCTTAAAATAATTTATAATCAAAACATTATGTATTCTTGTGTAGTTTTACACAATATTTTTATCAAACATTAGTGATTTCATCGTTTTATACTGTTTTATTAACTGACATAAAGTGTAGTTTAGTGATAACAGTCCTTAAAACATTTACAATTTATAGATAAATTTGTTTGAATTTAACTAAAATATTTAAGTTATAATCTATTTATTCCACATAGGTTACAAAATGAACTCCATTACTCAAGGGTTTAAAAAACCAGATAACAATAAAAACCAAGTAATTGTAATACACATGCCAACCACTAGATGCCACTTTCCATACAGTTATTAATGAGCAGCCAAAAGGAAATTGCCCTAATTAGACATCTGGTCAGTGGAACAACATTTTTTAACCAATATTTATTATTGATATGGTGCCTAATAAGCACACAACACAATAGTAGGTCTGCAAGAGATACAAAAATTGTGTAGATGTGGGTGGTGCCATAAAAACCTTGCAATCTACTTTTCAAAAGTCTAAGCATGAACAAAGGGAAAAAAATAGAATTAAAACTAAATGGAATAATTGTTACAGCAGTAATGGGAAAAGTACTAAGATACAAGGAATATATACTGATTTACTTTAGTATATGAATCACGAGGAGACTGGATAAATCATTACTCTAGGGCTACTTTCTCATTTACAATATAACAGAAACGAATCATGTGATCTTTGTTTTAGGAAGATCAGCTGTTCCTCATCTAGCAGCAATCAGTTGTCAATATTCCTTTAGATAAGATTGGGGTCTGCTGTTCATTTCCCCAGTTCTATGCTGGGTTACTGTCTGGGAGTCTCTTGGGCCACACTGGCCAACAACTCAAAGGAAGGTATCTCCTATCTGGCATTGTTTCTTGTTATGTAGGCTTTATACACATGGACTCTTAAAGAAATATACTAATCACTTTAGATTTTCATTATACTTTCCTTTTGGGTGTTTAAGACCATACAGTTGGCCCAGATAAACCAATTTATTTTTACTTTTAAAGTCGTTTGAGGTTCTGTTCCTCAGGGGTCACATGGACTTGGAAGGAGGCCCTGGCTCCTTTCTTTTACCAATTCCATCTATGTGAAGATAACTCAAAGGTCCCACTCAACCATGGCTGCCTTCACTTGGAAGCCTGGAGATAATGTTTCCTCTGTGTTGACCCTCCTCTTTGTAGACTGGACACTGGTTCAATTCCATCTAGTGGGGTCTCCATGGCCTCCCTGAACAAGAAGACAAGTGACTCGGCACAGTTATAGGACATTTTGAGAGATGCTCCATAGTCCCCTGGAACTTAGTGGACCTTGGAGCACAAAGAGGAAAAACTGCCCTTAAGTCCCTCTGACCAGATTAGTATACACCTCAAAGTATGGCTGTTAAACAGCCAAGAACGTTGGTTCCACCTGTCTGGTACTTTTAATTACCATGTGCTTGGGCAAAGACGAAATGTTCTCAGATAAACGTTGACTAGACATATATTTTGCTCCTTAAACTACTTGTATGTATAATTTGTCAGTAGGTTGTTGGACTAATATGGTTCCGTGTAGTTTTTTTTTTTTTAAGCTACCTAGGCATTATTTATCTCTCTCACTGTCTATCCTTTCCACCATGGTTTCCCCATTTAAGGTGCTCTCATTTCCTCCATTTCTCCCTTAATAATACCCTTCTCCTATGTTCCCACCTCTCTTGAGCTCCTTCTTTCCCTGTATCCCCAAGGTTCTTTATATAATCCTCCCTCACCCCTCCCATTTAAATAACCCAATTTTTATCCATATTTCCCTTAGTAATATCTGTTTCCTACTTTTATTCTCTCTCCATCATGTAAATGTACAACATTTTCATTATCCACTGGTCGGTTGAGGGACATTTACATTGCTTCCACGTCTTAGCTATTGTGAAAAGAGCAGCAACAAACATGGATGTACAACTGTCTCTGCAATAGGATGAGTTCTTTGGGTATATGCCAAGAAGTGGTATAGCTGGGCCAAATGGTAGGTTCATTTGGAGTTTTTTAAGAGTTCTCCACACTGCTTTCCATAGGGGTTGAATGAATTTGAAATCCCACCAGCAGTGGATGAGCATTCCCCTTTCCTCACATCCTCTCCAATTTGGTAGCATTTGTTCTCTTGATCTTAGCCGGTCTGACTGGGGTAAGATGAAATCTTAAAGTGGTTTTAATTTTCATTTCCCTAATTGCTAATGATGTTGAACACCTTTTAAGGCACTTCTTAGCCATCTTTGTTTCTTCTTTTGAGAACTCTCTGTTCAGCTCCTTAGCCCATCTTTTAATTGGGTTGCTTGCTTTCTCGATTCTTTATTTTTTGAGTTCTTTATATATTCCGGATGTTAAACCTCTGTCAGATGTGTTGCTGGTGAAGATTTTCTCCCACTCTGTGGGTTTTCTCTTCACTTCCTTGGTTGCTTCTTTTGATGTACAGAAGCTTTTTAGTTTAATGAGGTCACATTTGTTGAAGAATCACCAAGTTTTAAAAAAACTGAGTTGTGCCAGGCATGGTGATGCACGCTTTTAAACCCAGCATTTGGGAGGTAGAGGCAGGTGGATTTCTATGAGTTTGAGATCAGCCTGGTCAACATAATGAGTTCCAGGCCAGCTGAGAATACAGGGAGACCCTGTCTCAAAAAGACCTAAATAAATAAATAAATAAATAAATAAATAGAAATAAAAAACTGAGTGGTATCAATAACTATCAAAGTTATAGTTAAGAAAGACAATTCCCTTGAGCCTGAAACTATTAATATGATTTGGAAGGACAAGTAGAAAGCCCTTTTAGAGCAAAAACAAAACAAAGCAAAAACATTTAAAAGGCTTCCTAAGTTGATATGTAAAAAATAATAAGGAACTGTGATGTGTTGACTTATTTTTGAGGCAGAGTTGTACTACATATACCAGATGACACGGAACTCCTGATACTTCTGTTTCAGCCTCTCAAATCCTATCTTCATCTTTCAATTCTGTGGGAAAAATGACTTCTGCAAAAACAAAACAAAGCAAAAACATTTAAAAGGCTTCCTAAGTTGATATGTAAAAAATAATAAGGAACTGTGATGTGTTGACTTATTTTTGAGGCAGAGTTGTACTACATATACCAGATGACACGGAACTCCTGATACTTCTGTTTCAGCCTCTCAAATCCTATCTTCATCTTTCAATTCTGTGGGAAAAATGACTTCTACAAAATCACTGACAATTGTTAATGCAAGGTAACAATGGAACTATAGTTATCTTTAAATTTTTTATTTCAGGAGAAAAAAATCAAAATAAAATCTAAGGGACATTATATTATCCCACATGAAAACATATCTTAAAAGTATGACAGTTGCCAGGCATGGCGGCACATGCCTTTAATCCCAGAACTTGGGAGGCAGAGGCAGGTGGATCTCTGTGAGTTCAAGGCCAGCCTGGTCTACATAGTGAGTTCCAGGACAGCTGGGGCTACAGGGAGACCCTGTCTCAAAAAATACCAAAAAAAGTATGACAATTAAAATAGTATGGAATCACCCAAAAAACAAGAATATTAAAGAAACAAAATAGAAAATTCAGAAAAAGGTGTGTACAAACACAAACACACAGGCCAACTGTATGCTATATGAGCATATAGTTGATCCTTGATGTTGGCACATCATAACAAATCACTCAATATACATATTTTATGATAAATACAGAAGAGAATAAATTTAGATCCTAGAGTATTACAATAAAAAATAAAGATTAGAACATAATCTGGAATGCTTTGGTCCAAGATTCTTTGGCATTTTATTTTTCTAATTTGATATATTTGCATATACACAATGAAATATCTTAGGGGAAAGACTGAAGTCTAAACATAAAACATATTTAGATTTCATATACACATTATATAAGCATCCTGAAGGTATTTTTTTCTGGTATGAGTGATTAACCACAGGGGCTTTAGGCTTGATAGGCAAATGCTCTACCACTGAGTTACCTCCTCAGCATACATAATGCCTTAAATAATTTTAAACATAAAACAAAGTTTCATTATGGAACTTTCTCTTTCTGCTGTAATCAAAATAGTAAAACGATTTCAAGTTTTGAATCATTTTCAATTTCACACTTTTAGTAGAGATGTTTAATTTGACATAGATATTAGACAGAAGTAAAAGTATTTTTAAATATTGTTATTTTATTTTTATGTGTAAGTGTATATTGCCTGTATGTTAGTGCACCCTTGTTGTGCAATGCCCACAGAGGTCAGAAGAGGGTGTCGAATTTCCCTGGAACTGGAGCTATGGATGGTTGTTAGCAACCACGTGGGTGCTGGGAATCAAACTTAGTTCCTTGCAAGAGAAACCAGCATTCTTAACCACTAAGCCATCTCTCCAGTCCCAGAAGCAGCAATGTAATAAAATTTCTGTATGTATTAAGATCCTGTAAAAAAACATTTTCCAATTCTAGGAACACATTCTAGAGATTCTATTTCAGTAAGGCATAGAGTTTTAAAACAGAATATGCAATTTTCACTTTTTTCTTATTGATAGAATTTAAACATACTTATGAAGTATAATGTGAAGGACAATGGAGGGAAGGAGGGAGAGAAAGCCAGTCAATGGGTATAACACTATAATCTGATAGGAGGAATAAACTCTGGTGTTCTACAACACAAAAAATGTTGGGGGCTTCAATGTCCCACATTTTATATAAAATAAATACAAAAGCAAGACAAAAGAGCAACAGAGAAATAGGTTGCTGAATAACAGGGCAAACCACCCCTATCTAACACATTTTTCAACATTCAACCCAATAATATATATAATCTTCTCAAGCATGCATAGGACAGTGTCCAGGACAAACCACACATTAATTTATCAACCATCGAAAGTATGTTTTTGAGCCCTGGTTAGATAAGAAATAGATTACATTAAAATATTAATACTGGATAATAAAATATTGGATACTCACAAGAATTTTTTAAAAAAGAAACAATTGCACCTAATTAATCAATGGATCAAATCATAAGATATATTAAAATATTTTGAGATGAATGACAATGACATGAAAAATACTCAAAGGTTTGGCAAATACTTAGAATATCAATGGTTCCAAATGCTTACACTTATAACAAGATGACAAATAAATACCCCCACCTCTTTATCCATTAGAAAAAGTGAGAATACTAAACCTAAAGCAAATAGAAGGAAGGAAATAATGGAAATTTGAGCTGATCTCCCTTTTAGAAGCTCCCAGTAGGTCTTTCGCTGTGACAAATTGAGCTGTCAAGAAGGAGTGGAATAAAAACACTGCTTTTGGGTGAAGTAGAAATTTGTGTTGTTTTACTTCAATTGGTATTGTGACAAGAAAAAAAAATTTGAACTGAAATAAATGAAATGTAGAATAAAAAAAGTAGAGACAATCATCAAAACCACAAGCTGATTTTTAGAAAAGATGAGGAAAATTTTCAAGTCATCATCATGGAAGGAAGGGAGGGAGGGAGGGAGGGAGGGAGGGAGGAAGGAAGGAAGGAAGGAAGGAAGGAAGGAAAGAAGGAAAAAAGGAAGGAAGGATTCGAATTACTAAGGTTAGGAACAAAAGAAGAGATATAAATTGAAGGAAAATTGTTCAACTTGGTAAAAAAGCACCCACAGCTAACATCATACTCAATACTAACACTAAACATTTTCTTATAAGGGAAACAAAGTAAAATTAAGAAGGAAAAGCTATTAATATTCACATATGAGATAGTCTTTTGTCCCCAAATTCCTATTAAAGCTAATAAATAAAGTCAGCAAAGTTACAAAGTATAAGATCAATACTCAACATTCAATTATATTTCTACACAGTAGTGTGAAATCAAGTAAAATATTCATTTAAAAGAGCATGAGTTTGACTTACATATGACCACTGGATGGGCTGACTAGATGCCAGTGGACACATTCACACTGAAGGACATTTGGGTACAAACACCTGAACAAATAGGGACTCAGAGTGTATGGCAGAGTGTATAAGGTTCAGTGGGGGAATAGAGGGGAGACATTGATGAGGAGGGGGTCTGGATTTGAGTGGGAAATGTATGAAATTTTAAAAACTCATTAAAATATATTTAGAAAAGGATAAACTGAAGACATTCAAAACACATACCATGAAAATGGCAAAACATTAGGATAATTAAGAGAATGCCTAAATAAATGGAAAGAGATCCCATGTTCATAGATTAGAAGTTCATGTGTTACTTTTTGGGGGGAGGGGGGACAGGGTCTCCCTGTAGCCCCAGCTGTCCTGGAACTCACTATGTAGACCAGGTTGGCCTTGAACTCACAGAGATCCGCCTGCCTCTGCCTCCCAAGTGCTGGGATTAAAGGCGTGTGCCACCACGCCCGGCCCTTGTGTTACTTTTTAAAAGTGAATGTTACCATCCTCAGAGGGTTAAGATGGTGATAGCCCTCATATTTTTCTGTAGATTCAAGGCAATGTTTATAAAAATTCTGTGCATTTATTTTTGCAAAAATTTACAAGGCATTATTAACATTAATATGGAATCTCACATAGAACTGTAAGAAATCCTAAAACCAAAAGCAACAAAGATCAATGTGGTTCTACCATGAAGATAAACATAGGTTAACAGAATAGAATTAAGAAAGTCATTCATCAAGAGTAAATATTTTGTACAACATTGCCAAGCAGAGCTGTGAATGGGAGTATATACCTCTAGACCCAGCATTCAGGAGGCAGTGGCAGGAAGAACAAGAGTTTAAGGCAGCCTCGTTACATAGTAAGTTTGATATCAGCTTAATTTGCATGGAACCATCTTGGAAAAAACAAAACAAAACAAAAAATGCAAGTACGTTCAATGGGGGGAAAAAACAATATTGTCAAAAATAGTGCCTGGGAAAAATAAAAAAAGAAATAAAAATTTAAAAAATAGTAGTGGGACAACCACAGACCCCATTCTCATACTGTACATGAAAATTAACTTAAAATGGATAAAAAATACTTAAAATTATAAAATTCTGAAAACACTGAAGTGCATATTCTTGATTTCTGTCAAGAAAGTCAAACCTTCTTAGATGAAATTTTGAAAGTACAAGTAACAAAAATTTCAATAGACAATAGATTGGGGAATGAGAGGGTAGGGCAGACTAGGGAGTAAAAGGAAGGATACTTAACCTCGGAGGCCTTTTGAAAGAGTCATATGGAAACTTGCTATAGAATATTCTTTCAATGTAAACATATACAATATAAAGAGCTTAAATGTAGATACCCTATAGCAGGTTCAGCAACCCTAATAAACACCACAGGTTATCAAATGCAAAGCCAAATATCAGGAATGGACTCTGTCTTTTGGAGGTGTTAACCACAGAGAGCCTATAGATCCTCACACAATACTGGCTATGGCCATTGCACTTGGTTACCCACAAGACACTGATAGTAAGACACTGTTATTGAAGTTACTACATACCTGAGTCACAGAACACAGAAGAATCAAGCTGGTACTGACCATGAAGCTACATCTCTGCTGGGCAGCACTTATAGTACTAAAACGTGTGTGCATGTTACTGACAGAGAAATTAATCATCAGTCTTCTGCAGGTGTGAATCTTGTAAGCTACAATATTGACTGGCCTGGCAAAATTTCCCCTTTACTGCAGTAGTGGCATGAATGTTATGGAAGTAACCAACTACCTTCTGTTTGGATTTTAGGCCCACTTAACAAGATGGAGTCCTTACCTGACACTGTTATCAGGGCCAAAAACCTGTGGCTAGACAGGTTGCAGACCATAGAAGAGAATTTACTATTATTAGTCTGCTAAATAAACAAATATTAAACTGACTTATAATAACTTACTGTTAAACACATAGATTAGTAAATCTCTCAACTCTCACCAGAAAAGAGTCTTCTTGCAGTAGATGGCAATTATCCATAGACACACAAATAATCAATGTGCAAGAGAATAACAGACTTCACAGTACCCAGCAATAAAATGGGACACCTATATCAGAGCCTCTCTTCCCAAGGGGATCATTGGAAAACAGGGAGCAGAAAGATTGTAAGAGCCAGAGATGATAGATGAAAACAAGGAAATTGGGTTGTCCGGACACTACAGAGCAGTTGCACATATGAAACCTCAGCACTTGTGACAGCATGAGACCTGTTCGCACTCAAGCCAGAAAAAAATCCCAGCATAGTTGGGGGAAGTGGGCAAAAAGGCCTAGTTCTAGTTGAGGATCTGCTGCCAACTGATGGCTTCATGGAGAGGGAGAGTCAGTTTTCCTTACTGCTATGATGCCTGGTAGGTTGACCAGACTCCAAGGCATAGACCCACACTCAAGAGCACTTAGGAAACACAGATTCAACAAGATAGGCCTTTTAAAAATCCTAGAATCATATTAGTAGATTATATAAATTTGTGGGAGCAGTAGTAAGGTGAGGGGATCTAGTGAGTGGGTATGATGTGATCAATATTACATTGTATGAAATTCTCAAATCAATAAAACTATTAAAAATAAATAAATACATAAAACACTTTAAAGAAATAAAATCATTCAAAAAGTTTATCAATGCGCCTGGAGAGACCAACAGGTTAATTGCGTGCACCCACGCAAGTGGCTCACAATCACCTGTAATTCCAGCCCCAGGGAGATCTGACTACTTCTTTGGGGTTGTACAGGCATCTGCACTCACATATGAAAACACACACACACTCACACACACACACACACACACACACACACACACAATTAAAAGTAAAGTAAATCTTCATAAAATTTTAAAATTCATCAGAGTAAGAATTTCTTTCAAAGGCCATTGTTAAGAAAGTGAAAATACAACATGCATGTTATGGATTAGTAAAGTACATTTGTAAATTATATATGCTTTTAAGGACTTATATTTCAAACAAATAAAGGGCTTATAATTTATTTTGCAGACAAATAATCCAATACAAAAATGGGTAAAAGTTTTGAATATTTATTTATTCAAAAAACCATATAGCCGGTAAGCACATAAAAACATGCTTGATATCATTTGTCTTTATAGAAACGAAAATGGAAATCACAATGAAATACCATTTCATACATACTAGAGAACTATATTTCGAAAGACAAACAGTAATCAGTATTACTGAAGATACAAAATAGAACACTTTTACATTGATTTGGGGGATGTAAAATGATATAACCATTTTAGAACCATCTGGCAGTTGCTCAAACATTTAAACATAATGACCAGAGTAGTCCACTCAGAGGTATATATTCAAGCAAAACAGAAACATTTCTATAAAAAATTGTATATGAGTATTCATAATATCATTACTAATAATACCTCAGAAAATAGGAAAAAGTTAAGTATTCGCCCAGATGAACCAATAAATATTTACTATACATATAAAATGGAATATCATTTGATAGTAAAGAGGAATGAAGTACTGTGTCATGATACAATATGCCTGGACTTTGAAAAACTTATGTTAGGTAAAGGAACACAAAAAATAACAATACGTATTGAATTATTTTATTTATATGAAATGCTCAGAATAAATAGAAAAATAGGAAAAAGTAGATTTGTATTTACAAATCTATACATGAGGTCAATGGGAAGAGAAAGCTAAGGGATAGGGTCTTTTGAGGGTTAATAAAGACATTCTAATATTGATTTAGGGGGAAGATTTTAAAAAGTTGGGCACGATGATGCAAACCTTTAATCACCACACTTAGGAGGCAGGTAGATCTCTGTGAGTTTGAGGCAAGCCTTGTCTATATGGTGAGGTCCAGACCTGCTGGGGCTACAGAGAGACCCTGTCTCAAAAAGACAAAAAAAGATTTAGGGGATGGTTGCACAACTATGTATATAGCTGACAAAAATACTGAATATATGCTCTAAATTGATAAATTTTATGCTATATAAAGCATATCTCTAAGATGCTGTTAAAAACCAGTGTCATGGAAAAAATGGGCATATTTAACTGGAAAGGGAAGAAGGAGGATTATACAAGGAACCATGGACGTAAAGGGAAAGGAGGAGATCAAGAGAAGGGGATAAGAGGACACAGGTACTATCAAGGAGGAAATGGGTAAAACGGGGTTATTTTAACTGGGGAGGGCAAAGGGAAGCTAGACAAGGAGAGAGGGGAGTGAAAAATAACACTTATATGGTGTGAAAAACCAGAGGGAAATGTATTAGTCCAATAACCTACTGAAAAATACACAAGCAATTGTGTGTGTGTGTGTCTGTGTGTCTGTGTGTCTGTGTATCTGTGTGTGTTACTCAAGGCTATATAACAAGATACACTGTGGAAGACAGGAGAAACCTCCCTTTGAGTCAGGATAGTCCAGAAGACTCCCAAAATAACACAGACTATTGCCA